GAGAGAGAGAGAGAGAGAGAGAGAGAGAGAGAGAGAGAGAGAGAGAGAGAGAGAGAGGTGATGACCAAATCTGAAAGAGAGACATTCGACATAACCGTCATGCACTCACGCCAAAGATAAAGATCCGCAACAACAAAGGCGCATTCGCCGTTAATTCCAATATGGCGCCGGGCCAATTACTCACTCAACTCCAATCATCGATCCTCATACCCGCACCGACGATCCCGGCCGCCGCGTGCTAACTCCCACCATTGCGATCGTCACCCCGCTGTCGTAAACTCGATGGAGTTCGCCTAGATCCCACAGTCCGTCGTGGCGATCCAACGCGCAACCGGCCAGCCTATGGTCAGCCCGACAGGACTTTTTGACTCGCATCAACACACTCTACCTAGCCACTGCTTCCCTGAAGCTGGCTTAGGAGTCGAGAACGTAAGAGAGAGATTTGCGGACGCGCTTTCGGGTTTTATAGTTGCGACAGGGGAGATAGAAGGAGGAGAAGGCGACAGGAAAGCTGAGGAGTAAGAGGAGAAGCAGGAGGAGAAGACTTTGAGAAGAGTGCTCTACGAACGTCATGCTGATCCCTCGGAACTCAAGGTTCAACCAATCAGATTCGTCGCGCGATAGGAAGGTCCTATCGATCCGCACACCTTATTGGCGAGCGGGAGTTATCGGGGGATCGATCGGGTGTCGTACGCCAGACTTAGAGGGTGAGAAGAGAAAAGGCGCGAGAGGTGGCGCAAAACAGGTCCAAGATTCAGATGATCAAGAAAGGGAAATGGGCGCACGAAAGCAAGGCGGGAGAGAGAGAGAGGGAGAAGGAAAAACAGTTACGGGGAAAGAGGAAAAGGAGGGAGAAGGGAAGGGAAGCGCGGGAGGGAGCGATGCGGGGGATAGAGAGGAGGAAGTTTTTGCATGCACGGCGCCGTCAACAAAAAAAGAAAAACGCACCGAAATAGTTACAGCTTGCTTCTATCCTAATTCAAAATTGAAATCACCATATCTGCGCACGAAAAAGCGACGCGGAAAAAAAAAATCCTACGCCTATTCGTATTCACGCAAAATTCCGAGAGTTTTCCCCGGCGCGCCCAAGAACATACCCAAAAAGGACACGTCGAAGTTCTGCTTATCCCGGAATTCCCAACTACCGAGCCCAATTTTCAGTGCGCTTGCTAAGGCGTACGTAAATTCCCATGTATTTTCCGACTTTGCAAAAAGAAAAACAGAACCCAAAAGTCGAAAAAGCTCTAAAAAAAAAGAAAAATGCGGCACCCGAAAGCAAGAAATCAAAACGGGGTTTTCGTGGGGTTGGAATGCAAAAGAAAGGGTACGAAAGATAGCACGGGGTCGGGAAGTGGTTCGTCACAGCCGCGAGGCAAGGGCATTTACGGTCATCTCTACCCAGGGGCAAGGGAATTTGCGGTCATCTTTTGCCCAGGGGCAAGGGAATTTGGGGTCATCTCTACCCAGGGGGAAGGGAATTTGCGGTCTCTACCCAGGGGCAAAG